ACATTGAGGAAAAAAACATGCCGGTTTGCGTGATCGATTACTGCTCCTACTGTAGCTAGGAATGGTCTCCCGAAAATGAGTGGCCTCTCCTTGTCTTTATCCATCTCCAGGACTTGGAAATCTGCTGGAACAATCTTATCTCCCACTAGAACTTGTAGATCATGAATCGCCCCTTCAGTATCTTTTTGAGATGAATCTCCAAAGATAACCTTAACCGTCGATGTCCTTAAGGTTTTTATGCCCAATTTTTTGGCAAATGTCTTAGACATGATGTTGACATTGGCTCCGGAATCGCACAAGCAGTCTGTAAACTTGATTCCTGAAATGAAACACTGGAAAACAAAACGTCCCGGATCATAGGCTTTGGTAAGCCTTTGAAACGGTGATCGTTCAGGTACCTTAAACGGTGGCTGCTTGGGATCGATATCCTTGTACAGTGGTACAAAGATTGGGGTTTCTTCTTTCTTTCCATCGGTTCCGGCCTCTTCTTCGGGCAATGTGGTTATGGCGTTGCAAAAATTCTTAGGGTTATCTTCAACTCTTCCTGGAAGAACTCCACTTTGCCTCTTCATAGAGTCGGTTGTTTGGGCGACTTGCACATCTAACTTTTTTACGTGCGAAGATAAAGATTCAAACTTACCATTCAGATCATTGTACATGCAGTCCACTTTCACGTTCACGTCTTTAGATGCTTTTTCGTTCGTCATAACAAGCTGTTGGATTGACTGTTCAAGTCTACCGATTTGTGAAGCTAGCTGGTTCCTCGTGACTCCCTGCTGTTGTACAAATTGATTGTTAAAACCCGTACTTTGGTAGTTATAAGGCTGTCGCGGTTGATATGGTACTATTCCTCCAAAGTTTCCACCTTGAAACTTGTTTTGGAAGGATTTTTGCTGAGGTGGGTAGTACTGATCTTGAGGATTCTCCACATTTGGATTGCGGTAAGAGAGATTATTGTAATTTGCATTCCGGAAGTTGTTGTTGAAGTTGTTGTTGGAGCGATTTTGGTATGGCACCAGTGCTCCTACGTAGTTCACATCTTCTTCTTGAAATGCTTGATTAATGTGATCGATATCACTAGGTCCTTCCTCTTCTGCGCCATTGTTGGTTTCACAGGCATGGATCGGGCGATTGTTGCTCTTCAGAAGCTGGCTCACCATGTTCTTTAACTCGGTTATCTCCTTGTTGTCTGTTCCGGATTGCTTCATTGATCGATCGTATTCAGGACAGTCATTGCTATTGGCTTGAGCCCAATTTTCGATGAGAGCTCTTCCTTGGGTTATCGTCTTTTGCCCACAATCTCCATTGCTAGCTGTATCAAGTGAAAGTTTGTATTTTGGTTGCAAACCTCGGTAAAATGTGCTCAGCAGGCTTGATCCATGAAATCCATGGTGAGGGCAATCACGTTCATACTTCTTAAAACGTTCCCAAGCTTCATAGAAAGATTCAGTTGGCTCTTGTTGAAAGGTTGAGATCTTCGTTCTCAAATTGTTCGACCTTGACTTAGTGTAGAAGTGGTTTAGGAAAGCAGTTCTACATTCTTCCCAATTAGTAATCGATCCTGCAGGCAAAGACTTCAACCAACGGTGAGCTTTATCTGCTAATGAAAAAGGGAACAACTTACACTTTAAATAGTCAGGTGGAACTTGGTTTGTTCTCATCATGCTGCAAATTTCTTCAAAAAGCTCGATATGGTCCATTGGGTGCTCAGAAGGAACTCCATGGAACTGGTTTTGCTTCACCAATGAGATGATTTGAGGCTTGACTTCAAACTCATTCCGGTTGGAAATGGTACTTCAATTGCAGATCGATTCTGAAAATTTTGAGTAGGTGCATCAAAATCAGCTATGCGATGGTTCCTTTCTTGTCTTCGGTGTTGATTTGCTGGCGGAATGGGGCGGTGAATGCGTTCATTCTGCTGCATTGCTGGGTGGTCACCATCGGCTGCATTGATGGGTGGATCAAGGTCTTCACGTCCTTCTCTCTCTCGGTTCTGGTGGTTTTTTGGAAGAACCTCATCCTCCTCTCCATCTTGTCGAGCATGATCACCTTCTATGTGATCATTCTCTTCGTTTTCTCCATGTTCAGACCCGTCTTGGTCCATATTTAAATTTCGATTAATAGGATCTCCAGGCTGGTCGTTGTTGGCCATTCCTTGCGTTCGTCTAAGTCTTCGAAGTTCTCTTTCGTGTCTGTCTATCTCGTCAAGAATTGGAATGTCTCCTACAGGTCTACGCCTTGTATTCATGCAATTCAGAGAAAAACAAAAGAAGGGAAAGATAGTTCAGAAAAACTTTAAGAAAGAACTAGAGATCAGGTGTCTAGAACAGAAGTTAAAACAAGAAAAATAGCAAAAGGCAGGGAAACAAATCCCCGGCAACGGCGCAAAAAACTTGATGGTCGTGTCAACTGCGTGAGGGAACAAGTTTTACCCTTACCAAAACAAATAAAAGCCGCAAGTGCACAGCTAGTCAGTTGTAGTATTTAGGGATCGAATCCACAGAGATTTGTGTGCCTGGTATTCTTCTACGGTTTTTAACTTTATGTCTAGACTAAATTGGTTTTAAAGGTTGGTTGTTTTTCTTGCGAATTAAACTAAAACAAAAGAAAATATAAATCTATCCTAAAAAGCATGTAAGAAAATCGAATGAAATGCAATTAGAATAAGCAAATATCGAATGAAAGACTAATAAGGCAAGTAAAATATCGCATGAAAGGTAAATAAAGCAAGTAAATAATGAACTAAGGAAATTGAAATGCAGGTCTAAGAAAGCAATAAAAATCGATGGAGTTGTAAACTATGGCTAAAAACGCTGGGCTTTTGGGAACTCTAAGGGATCATAATCGGTTTTAACACTAAGGTAGGTAGATTGGGATTGACGGATAACGATATATGGGTTCTAGAGCTTGAGTACGGCGGTATGACTACGTCACTGTCGTGATCATAACCAACTGTTTCTCGCAACCCTGACCAGTAGGTTTCCACTCTGGCCCTGGAAGGGAGAGAACTCAAGAGCTGCACAAGACTCGTCAATACTCACGATCTCGCCGCAGGTAGGTTTCCACTCCTACGGAAAAATCGCCTGTTTCATTCTAGGGCTGATACTTAATGAAAACTTTCGCAACACTAACTATCTAGATCGGATACTAGGTGATCAATAAAGCATACATGCAATAAGAACAAGAATAAACAGAGAACAGGTCGAAATCCCAGATCTATAAACCTAGATGTCTTAATCGATTATGAGAACCCCTTTCGGGAACCCTAAGCCCAACTCGGGATCTACTCAGACATGGCTGAGTTCGACATCATCATTGGTTTTAATAAAAGTAATGAAAAACAGTAAAGAAAAGAGATAAAGAAAGCTTCTCTATTGAAGAACTCGGACTTGAACAATCTTCTACAAAAATCTCATAAAAACGGCTAAAGGAAAAGGGTTTCTGTAAAGTATGAAGAGTGGTGTCTAAAAACGACCTAAATGACATGTATTTATAGTCTCCAATACTCCATGGTCTCTAGGGTTCCGGAATTGAGGCTGAGAATGACTTTGGGCTTCAGATAAGTGGGCTTTAACTCGGAGATAGATTGCCGCGGTCGGGAGTGTTGTGACCGCGGCAATTGGCTTGTTGGCCGCGGTCGGGAAGCTTCTGACCGCGGCAAATAGCTTATTGGCCGCGGTCGCGTGAGTTGCTGGCCGATTCCGCGTGGCTCCGGGGCTAATGGAATATCTTGATCCAACCGTTGGAATGTCTCCAAACCAAGTGCATTTGAAAGCTGGTTGATTCTTCTATAAGTTGTCCAATTTTAAGGGTGATCAGACGGTGAGAAGGTCTTCGTCTCTCCATGAGAGTTCTGACGGTCTGCATTTATCCAAAAGAGTCTTTTTGTTCCATTTTGTGCCTCTTTATCCCAAATTACCTGAAAAGTCTTTTAAAATCCGTAAACATAGAAATCCTTTGAAAACCTTTGAAAATGGAGTAAAAACACCTGTAAAAGATATTAAAGTGATCCATAAAAATGGTCAAAATCCGGTGTTTTCAGCCAACTCTCTTACTATACTAGCTCGTCGGCAGGCGGTCATGAAAAATCGAATGCTTTTGTTTTCACTACTTCTAGGAGGAATTATTCTACTCGTGGCTAGAGTGTCCATGTATTGAGATCCACAAATGTTTATTTTTTCACTTGTATCATATTTGTGTTTTGTTAGTAGATGTGTGTTCCTTCATGACCTTTCTAAGACTATCGTTAAGTTGTATAATTTGCTCCTCTCCTATTCTTCCAAAGTTCTCAATCACTGAGCTATTTCATAGATATTGCTAATTAAAATTGAGCGACTTGACATATTCGGCAATCATAACATATGTACCCTTATAAATTCTTAAAAAAGTTTTATATATACCTTACACACTCCAATTACTTTCGAACGTGGATATATCCACCAGCATATGTTACATAGTCTTATTTTCCTTGGGCGGCCTGATTTATCCGTTGTCCATGGACATAATTTTGCCACCAAGCTATTGATGATATGCGCCATCTTTATATCATAAATAGTTGAGTTATGATAAATGTGGATTTATTCTGGTTTGTCGGTCACATTGTATTCGTCCATGGATATATCCAGTTTCGTTCACATTATTTATAATATAATGTGTCCGCACTCACATCTTCTCGGAGGTGACGTCGACTGACACGCTACCCTTCACGGTTTATATACTACATTTCCCCCTTCACGAAACATATCTATTATCTCACCATCTTCCTTTTTATCATTTTGTTTTTGTTTTCCACACTCATCTACTTTCAAAATGTCAAGGGGGAACCCCAACGATGAATCATACTCCCAAATACCTCTTTTCATCTCCCACTTGAAAGCTGCTAACCCGACCACTATCACTGAGCTTGAAACTCATACCGACGAAAATGGTTCTCAGCACTTCAAGCGCCTCTTTATATCTCATGGTGCATCCCAGGAAGGTTTTCATTTCCTTTAAAACTGATGGTGGTCTCGGGTGCACATATCAGACGTTCGGATTCTGGCTTTCTCATTGTTGTCATCGATCAAGATGCCAACTTCCAGACCTACCCCCTAGCCTTTGCTGCAGTTGACCGTCAGACCGAGGAGGCATGGAGGTGGTTTTTTCACCAGCTCGAACAGTGTTTTCCAGACAATAACAAGACAACCATTTTATCTGATGGCGGTGGAATGGCTGAAAGAGCTATCTCAGCATGCTTTCCTGAAGCCAGTCACGTTGACTGCCTACGTTGTCTTCAACTATCATTGAACCTGTACTTCCACGACAATGGAATTACCAACTTGGTGCGGGAGGCAGCTTGTGCTCACACAATTGGCGTTTTCCGGCGGGCGTTCAACCGGATTAATGAAACCAACCCTGACTGTGCTACCTATCTACAATCTATTGGCTTCCCTCGTTGGACGAGTTATTGTCAAGCCGGCGACCGATACAACATCATGACTGCCAGTATTGTTCATGGATTCATCCATTTACTGCTCCCTTAAACAACTGGCCCTATTATTAACCTCCTCAACTTCTACCACACAACTGTTATGCGCTAGTTCCAAACAAGACTCCGAGCATCAATGGATCACCCAGGCGTGATGTCTCCAGGTGTTCAAGGTTTCATGGATAAATTAGCTGTCAGTAAGTCGCAATGGCAGGTTCTGCATATTAGCTCTGGAGCTTGTGAGGTTGTAAATTCAGTCGGCGAAATTCACTTTGTCAATCCTCTAAGGAGGACATGTTCCTGCAAAGTTTTTAACAAACTCTGGATACCCTGTATCCACGCTTTGGTCGCATCCGATGCATTACGCATTTCAGCTGAGTCCTTAGTTCACACTGCTATACTTCTGTTGCCTGGTTTGAAACGTACATTCCTCAACTTTACCCTTGCCAGGAGCATCTTCCAGCTGAGGCCACCGCCGACGGGCAACTGAACTGCTACCACCGATTTCGAGGCCACTGGTAGGGCGTCCCATGCCTAAGACCCGCATGGTAACAATTAACTTTTAACAATTAACAATTAACAATTAACTTTTAACGTTGTTCTTATCCACTGTATAATGTGTTACATTTTTCTTAGTCCCAGTAACTGGATCTGCATCAACCTACTACAAGTTTCAAGCGAAGGATGGATAATGCTTCTTGGGGCCAACGTCGAATTCCCCTTTTGTTAGTCTTGTAATTTGCATTATTTTTTGTTGTCCTATTTTTCTCATCGGCTAAGTTGACCACCACAGGGTCTTTTTTGTATGTGCTAATCCCAGCGTCTGTTCCTGGTTTTCTGCTTATTCCAGTTATGTAATCCTCACTTTCAATGAATTTCTTTCATATTACCGCAACAATTTTTATGACAAGTCTAAATGCTTTTTTTTAAAAAGTTTCTTATATATCACAACCATACTCAGTCTGAACTTAACAAATTTGCCATTATCCGTGGAAGTTTCCACTATTGAACTCTACCATTCACGATTCCACACTCCTCTTTTATTGTGAATAATCAGTCCACCTGTCATGCTGTCAGTGGATAATGTCCGGAGATATATATTGTCCGTCGCTTTTCAAAATGTCCGACATGATTGAAGTACGTCAGAAACTACATCCAATCGCCGGAAACACCTCCATAAGCGTGCCACAGGATAGTTAACTGTTACCATCCTTCTTTAATGCTAGTTCCATTTTAACTAAATAGGCCTAACTAGCTTCCAAGACAACTAACTCACTGTTAGTCATCCACACATATACATTTATGAGTTTAAGTTTATGAGTTTTTTCCCAAACAAACTCACTGTTAGTCATCCACACATATACGTTTTATGTTTGAAATTACGTGGTTATACAGTCAAAGGTTCACACAAAATACATAACCACCATTTATTAACTACATGGTCATTTATATGCACACACCAAAAGACAAGTCATTTGGGTCTATGATAACTAAGAGTTTTTGAGCTCTTAGAAGGGTTATCAATCCCCTTGTCAAAGTAGTATAAGGGGTGTCAATCCATATGTGTGGTAGTTAGGCACTAGTTTATAAGATAAGTTCTTAAGTCAAGCTAATCAAAGACAGGTTTGGTGACACATTTGTGGGGCACATTTGTGGGGCACGTACAAAGGCGTTCTGCTTACAGCAAGTGGTCAGGATGGAAATTTTCAGGTTTTCCCTTTGGCATATGCTGTCGTGGACGCTGAAAACGAAGCTGCGTGGACATGGTTTTTCACGAAGGTTGAACGGTTACTAGCAGACAGTTCTAACCTAACCATCATATCTAATAGATCAGAGTCTATCTATTCTGCCAAAGCCAAGGTATACCCTAAGGCGCATCACGGCTGTTGCATAGTTCATCTTCAACGAAACGTTAAGTCTAGATTTGAGACTAAGGATCTTGCACAGCTTTTATCAGAAGCTGCTTATGCTTATAGGCAGAAGTACTTCCGTCAGGCTTTCAAAAAAATCCGTGACTCCAATCCTCAATGTGCTACTTATTTAGACAACATTGGTCATGCCCACTGGTCCCGGTATCATTTTAGAGGCGAACGTTACAACATGATGACTAGCAATGTGGCTGAGCAACTGATATTTCTATATTTTGCATCATTCAGGCTGCATTTTAGGGTCCATATCATGTGTTTTCTCATGTATATTGAGTCTTTAGGCATCAAAATAGGTCTTAGGACTTGCATTAGGTCCCAAAGAGTTTTGCATGTTTTGAAGTCTTTATCAGGTGCTTTGGAGGCTATTTGGAGCTCAAGAGGAGGATCAGGAATGAAAACGATGTAGAAAAGGATCAAAAATGGTGAAAACCGCTTTGAGGAATTTCTCGGTCAAAACTTGTACTGGCTGGACCAAAACATCGGCCAAAATCGTTACCGGATGGTCATTATTGGCGAAAAATTATTATCGGGTGAAAATTCCACTCGGTAAGGTTTTATCCCGAGGCGAGAAGATTTTACCGGATAAAAAGCTTACCGCGGTATACGATTCTCGGACATTTTCCTTACCGCGGGAAGCTTTTATCGGCTAAACCTTATTTTCACCCGCACGCCTCAAAGATCATCAAGGCCGGGAAACTTCCATTCAGAACCAGCTTAAGGGGTCTTCATCAAAGTTGGAGATAATCGAGCCAAGATCCCGGAACAGTTGGAATCACCCAATTCGGATCTGTGAGAAGAAAGATACGACCTGCTGAAGACACGCCTGTCTCGCATGCATCCGAGGGCCGATCAGATGAATTTCAAAGAGTACGTAGGAAGAAGCCCTTCCGATCCAAACCAGCTTACAGAGTCTTCATTAAAGTTCAAGGTCTATGAATTCCCTTCCCGAAACGCCTGAGAACGCCCAATTTGGAGTTATGTGCCGAAAGTTATTGCCTCCGGAAGAAAAGTTGGTCGATATGAGCCCAAATGAATTGCGATACGCGCTAAGTATTCTCTCAAGCCTCGGCATCATCACCACGACATTGCTAAGCCGAGGCTCACCTCTTGAAAGCGTTTTTTGGGCTAAACCTCGTACCAACCCCTTGGTATGTTGAGATCAAGGCATGCATGCAAGAGAAGCAAAGATGAAAGCGACTAAGTGTTGAACATATACCTTGGTATCAAGACCTCGACGTTGCATGCCGGACTCTGTCTTCCTGAACACCTCGACTACCAAGCTCCTCGGCATTACATGGCGAGGTCCCTTGCCATAAATCCAGAATCAAGAACAAGGTGACTTAGAGGATACACGTGAAGATGGATTGAAGACTAGGGTTTATGCATGTTGTTGACTTGTTCTTCACGAGATCTTCATCTTGATCCTTGCTCACGTACACTCCTCAATATCAAGACCTCGACTTCACTCCCTTACACACTGTGGCGCTCACCCAACAACCCAAGAAGAGCGGTCAGAACCCGGTTTGTCCGGGGCTGACCCGCAACACTTACCCTTCACTATAAATAGATATTAGGACCGGAAACCTAATCATCTTTTATCTTATCATCTTTTAGCTTTAAGAACTTGCCTCTTTTGTGAAACTTGATTAATCTAATCCAATATCTTGTTTTTACATCAGAATCTTGTTCTTGTTCATTTCTTTTATTCTCGAGCAATCAAAACTCCTTATCATGACTACCTACACGTCTTGCAAAGGACTTAGTGAGCTCGTTATGATCAGTGAGTAGTCGTTTAAGCGGCTTTAGATAGGTAGATTAGGGTGCTTTCATGATAGATTAGTGAGTTTAGGGGGTCTAGTCTTGCATGTTTCATTCTTTAACCGACGAGATCTCTAAGCTGGATCCAAGCACATCACTTGAGGTTTAGATCTGAGACATATCTCGCATCAAAAGTGTTTGTAGAAATGTCTGAACCACTCGGTTAAAGGTTTAAGAGTCTTTCATCGCGAGAGTGATAGTTTGTTCTCTTAAATGACTTATTGAACTGAATCTTAAAGCTGACTGATTTATGCTTCTCAAAAGGGATTTTGGTATGAAAGAGGATCATTTTAGATGTTTAATACTTTCATGAGATGATTAACATACTTTGAGTTCATGTTAAATGAAGCCGCTTGATAAATCTGATCCATTAACTTGCTGGTCTAGCTTGGAAGCACCTGAGTCTTGTATCCTGTCTAAAGCTTCTGCCTTTATCATATATTATCATCATCCGATCATTCACTTGTTTTTTTTCACCATCACTTGCATCTTCATCTAGTTTAAATCTCATCTTTTGCCTCATTTTCATGTTTACTTGCTTGTTAAGTAGATTAGCAAAAAACCTTTACCTGCTCATATTGACTTAAGATCACAAGTAACATAGACTAGTGTCTCACACACAAGTTTGGATTGATAACCCCTTGTACTACAAGACAGGGGATTGATAACCTCTACAAAGAGCCAGAAAACTCTTAGTTATCAGCAACTTAACAGCGCATTGAAAAAAGGCAGAGCATCCCCCATTGTCAAGCTACTTGTCTTCATCCAGAGGATGATGTCTCGATGGTTCTGTGCTCGCAGGAAGAAAGCTTCTCGGTGGGAGGGTTTTTCCACACCAGAAGTGGACAAATTGATATCCAAACACCAGACAGACGACAACTTCAGCAAAATCAATCATCTTTCAACATGGATTTGTGAAGTAATTGGCCGTCTAGGTGAGAAAAATCGTGTGAGTGTGCATGACAAGAAATGCACTTGTAAAGTCTACGACCGTCTACAGATCCCTTGTAGTCATGCTTTGATAGCCGCAGACAGTTTGGGACTCCCACACACGTCTTTGCTTTCCGACTACTACAAATCAACCACATGGGCAGCAACATACAAAGAAGTCATAAATCCTGAAGAAAACCCGGATGATGTCGACCTGCCACAGTCGATTTTGGATATGGTCCTATTGCCACCAAAATCGAAGAGGCCACCTGGTAGGCCAAAACAAAAATGAATTCCGTCTCAAGGAGAATTAAGGGTCAGTTAGTTTTATAATTCTTTGCCTATATTTTCACTTATGCAGGATTGGACTACTAACAGCAATATTCCTTTGTTTGTAGCCTAATCGAATCAAGAAGACTATCCCTAACAAGTGTGGATGCTGCCATCAAGAAGGTCATAACAGACTACGATGCCGTAACCTAATTTGATTATAATATTTCCAGGTTGTACTTTTCTGCATCTTACTATGTATCTGTTTTGTAATCAGACTTAGATTGTTGTAATGTCTATTTTGTTAGTTTATCAACCCATTTGGTCCAACCACATGGTTATAATATGTATCCGCTTTGTATTAGACTTACATGGTTGTATTTTTTTTTCTTTTTACTATCAACCCATTCCGACTAATGACAACCATTCCGAACCTATTCCCCGCATATATCTATACTTCGATTTTAGTCGCTGCATCACTTACACATCAAGTTACTGCTTACCTGTTATTGCTTATATCACTAAAATAGGTGTACACATCCATATAAATGGGCTCCTTTAAACTCACCTGCAACAATAACCACATATACAAATGCAATATCATGTTCACCCTTTTCTCATATAAACCTTGTTCTGCCGTAGCGCTCAACATTATAATTTTTCTATGTTTTCCACTATGATATTTTGATGCTAATATGATATATTTATATGGTTACAGTTAAATGACTATATCCATCATGGTAGACAACCATTTCGTACCTAATCCATGGATATGTCTACTCAACGAACGTTTTTGCGTTTTCTCCGTAATGAAATGATGGCCTCTATACAAAGTTATACAACGCTGTGGATTGTGTCTTATATGTAATCATTTGCATTGTTCATATGGTCATTATCAATTGCTGTTTTTACGGGGCCTTTAAAGATTGATCACATAGTCAATACTTATATTTACCAATCCGTAAGATAATGTACAAATATATCATTCGGAGGGTTCTATGCACTCCTTTTACCTTGTCCACGTATATCTTCCCTACTTATATATCACATATTCCTAATCCATGTTCTTTTATGGCTATGTACACTACCATACACGAAGATTCTGTGATATTTTTCCGACGATTGCAAAACAGTGCCGCTTGTCTTCCACCATTGGCACTGCCGCTATTGCTATTTACAACCAAAACCCTCGTTATTGTTTTGCAACCCGACAGAACCAATACCAAGAACGCCTTCGGACGAATATAATATACACTTCCTGGTAATCACTCCGACACGCCGATTTCATATCCGAATTCCGTTTGTCTTCCCCAAATTGCGCCGTCGTCGTCGTCGTCGCAGTCATCGTCGTTAACCAAAGCCGGAGTCGACTTAGTAAAATCGGAACAGTCGTTTGCCCACGAAATTGATATCAATGTCGATTAATAATAAAAGTATATCTTCCTCGAAAGTTTTTTTTCAAACCGGTTAACACACTAATATTCAACGGGCCAAATTTTCCCCTTAGTCATTGGTAAGGGCTGCCTTGCCATTTCACACCTACTTTTGCAGCAAAAGTGCTATTAAAAACTAAAGTGCCTTTTTTTGTAAATAGAAACTCAAAAAGATCTAAAACATGTAAACGCCTCTATTCCAATTTTCCAAAGACCTTATATATAGAAATGAATTGATGATAATGTTGATGTTATTCATTGAGACAATTGATCTCTTTTTGTGTAATTTTCTAAAAACTTTCTCATGATCTCTTTTTGTGTAATGATTATCAGTTGATCTTCTTGTTTACTCAATAAGTAAATATGTATTTGATCTTCTTGTTTACTCTGATAAGTAAAAAAATGATCTCTTTTAAATTTAAAATAGAAAAAAAAAATCAGTTTGAAATCATACTATGATTAACAACAGAAAAAAAAAGTTTAAAGTAGCAGACTTGTGTTCATTCCTCAAAAAAAGTTCAAACTTCAAAGTATTAGACTTGTGCCAAAGTATTAGACTTGTGTCATTCCATTTCAGTAAGTTTTCCAAAGGTATACAAATAGATGGTAGGGTTGAAAAATTTTGTAAGCCTAATAGAACAAAAAAATTGAACCATAATTATAACACATAAACATATTAAACTCATAAGTAGTTTTGTAAGAAAAAATCCTAATAGCAAACGTAATTACAAAACACATTATAACAAACACATATATCAAATTTTTTTACATAGAAGACTTCGTTTGAAGACTTCGTAGACTGCAAGAGAAATCTACTTTTACAAGCTAAATAGCTTATTAATCAAAAAATTCAATTTCAAAATAAATATCGACTTAAATCAAATGAAAATCATTAAGTTGTTCAACCACTTGCTAACATGCATGTCCAAACCTAAAAATTAAAAAAAGTATTATAAATATTTTTGAAAAATATTTTTAAAATAAATACAAAAATTAGACTTCCCAATTAGACTTCATTCGTAGACTGCTGGAGAAGTCTACTTTCATAAGCTTACTAACCTAAAAATCAAAAAATCTGATTCCACTATAAATATGGACTTAAATGAAATGAAAATCATTGAGTAGTTCAATCACTTGCTAACAAGCATTTCAAAACCAAAAAATTGAAAAAAATACTTTATAAATGTCCAAGAAAAGCGTTTTTGAAATAAATACAATAAGTAGACTTCTAATACAGACTTCAAACGTAGACTGGAGGAGAAGTCTACTTTGATAAGCTAAGTAGCTTAAAAATCAAAAATTCTGATTCCGCAATAAATATCGAATGAAATGAAATAAAATTCACTGGATAGTTCAATCACTTACTAACAAGCATTTCTAATCAAAAAAATTGAAAAAATACTTTATAAATTTGCCTAAAACGCGTTTTTTAAAAAATGCAATAAGTAGACTTCTACAACAGACTTCAAACGTAGACTGGAAGAGAAGTCTACTGATAGATAAGAGTTTTGAGGCTCTTAGATGGGTTATCAATCCCCTTGTCAAAGTAGTATAAGGGGTGTCAATCCATATGTGTGGTAGTTAGGCACTAGTTTATAAGATAAGTTCTTAAGTCAAGCTAATCAAAGACAGGTTTGGTGACAAGTAACAAGTGAAAATATAAACAAGAAACAAACAAGTAATGATTAGTGAACTAAACAATTAAGCCAAACAAGATGATGGTGATTAAGCAAATGGTAAAAGCTAAACCTCTAGATGTGATCATTGATTAGGGTGCTGTAGATATCAATTCATGATGCTAAGAACAATAATGCAATGCAAGTTACTCTTTAGTCTAGACTTCAAAAGTAGATTAATTCATTCCCATGACAATAATCTCTTTGTAAATCACTTAATCAAGATTAATTCACCTTAAGCAAGATCAAGCAATCAACAAGCATAAAGTATCAAGTCTAATAATGACCAAGCGGTTTCTATTTCAAAGAGACCGAATCTTACACAGAAAGCAGCAACAAGCAATCACATGATCTCAAAACCAATTAACTTAGAACTCAAATCTAGACTAATCCTCTCATGAAGGCATTAATCTCTACACTAATCCACTTCAAACCAAATCATCATTTGTGAAATATGAATCAGTGAGCATTAAGAAACAGTTCTAATATGTCATTCATGCATTTAACAAATCATTCCCATGATGAAAAAGGCATAAACCCTTAGCTTAGCTCATTAAGACATTTCATCAAACACCTTGTGGGTGGAGAAATGACTAAGGTTTAGATCAGAGTGATGTGCAAAGATCTAGCATTAAGAGCAGCTAACTAAGGAAAGGAGATGAGAATCTAGAACCTAAACATCATAAACCGATCATCTAAGCACCCTAATCTACACACCTAGAAGCTTAAAAGATAACTACTCACTAATCATGATTAAACACACCATTTCTTTTGCAAGAGGTGGTGTTAATCATGATTAGAAGCAGAGATGAGATGATTAGATGATAAGAAACAGCTTTAAGATGATTAAATCTGCTAGATATCTCTTGATAAAACTCGTTTTTACACTAAGAAGCAGAGAGAAAACAAAGAGAAAGCAGATTAGAGGATAAGATAAAGCATAACTAGGGTTTTAGTCTCTAAAAACTATTTATATAAAAGGGTGTGGGCCGGGTCAGCCCAGGACAAACTGGGTACTGACCCGCCCTTTCTGGGTTGCTGGAGCCACCCCTCGCCATCTGAAGAAGTCTCACACCGAGGGCCATACACCAGGGGGTCATGTGCTGGGTTGAAACTTTGATGAACACTTGAAGAACATGCATGAGACTTGGCATTTGATCCGGTTAAAGCTTTGAAACGTGAAGAGGATTTGTTTGTGATCTGGGTTGGAGAGATGAGGACCTCGGCATACATGCCGAGGTGCCTGGTACCCGAGGTTTGTGTAACATAGGAGCTCGGCATAGCATGCTGAAGGGTTCACACCAAGGTCTGCTTCAACACTTAGTCGTTTGGGGATCATTTTGGTGATCAAGGGAGCCTCGGTGTTGAAAGGCCGAAGTCCTACCTCGAGGTATAGTCCCAAGGCTTCGTAAACATGCCTCCTCGGCATACATGCCGAGGTATTCACGCCGAGGTAGGACACAGCACTTAGCTTACAGTTGCATCTCTTAAAACCCGAATTGAGCAGCTTCTCTTCTGTTCAGTGTAACTTTCAGCTCGTAACTCCAAATGACCTGAAACCAGTTCCATGAGAAAGATAACTCATTCAGCTCGATCTTTGGTGAAGAAACTATCGGCGCTTGGGAAGTGGAAGGCTTCCTGGAGGGCTCATCTTCGCAATGCATTTACACGATCAGAGAAAGGCGTCTAGACATGTGTCCATTCCGGAGACGTTAACTTCTTGCTCATAGATCCGAATTGGATGATCTCGGACGTTATGGAAAGAGGACTCAAACATCTCTGATTCTTATGAAGACCCCGGAAACTGAATCTTCCTGGAAGTGCGCCGTCCTTCGCATTCTTCGGAGCTCATCGGATCGGTCCAAGACGGCAGCGAGACAGGGGTTTCTTCCGACAAGCTCAACTTTCTGCTCACGCGTCCGAATTCCATTATTCCACTTGCTATAAAAACCGTGATCCAATCCTCTCCAACTTTGGTGAATCACCCGACAGCTGA